GTATCGTTCCTGCACATCTCAGAAAATGTCCTCGAGGAGAGTGCCGCTTCTGATGATGTAGTAGTCCCCGGCGAGGAGGGCATGTGCGAAAGCCGTTACTTTACCGAACTTGGTCTATGCGTACTTCTCGAACAAGCCGCTGAGCTATTTGGCCAGGCACAGATGTTCGAGGCGATGTTTCAGGTGTACAAAATTCTCTTGCCCATATTCGAAGAGCAGAGAGATTTTCGGCAGATCAGCAGAATTTACGGAAAGCTTTCAGAGACGCTGTCAAAAGTCGATAACCGGACATCATCTTCAGACAAAAGGATCTTTGGAACGTACTTTCGGTCAGAATTATTTTCATTAAGAACCCACTTGATTTAGAATGAGGCAGGCCAACATACTGCCTTACATTATCAAGCCAGCCAGACGGCTGACACTGACTTTTTAGTTTTCTTAGATGGATAGAATATGAAGTAATTTTGTTTGAACAAACATCTGAATCAAGCCAATATACCCATTTTCAGGAAAGAACACGATACACTATAGGTAGCTTTATAATGACAACACAACTTGTAGTGGAAGGAGGCGGAAGTTTAACTCAGGATACAGAATTTGCATGCCATATGTTGGGCATGTGGCGTTGCGTTCATTGGACATTGTACATTTTTAGGTGATCTTCAGGTTGCCATAAACTGAACCAAATCACTTGCAGAACTTGAAAAACCGTGAAAAATTGAATATGGCAAATAATTGCTGTGTTCGATTGACAGCTTTTTATACAAGGTAGCTGAAGCACAACAGATTAGTTAGGTAAAGAACGCTTATTCGGCGATCGAATTGCCGATGTTTCGAGTTGTACCTGAAATGCTTTTTTTGACTTTGTAGGTAGTGCTCAATTTGGGCTTATGAAAATTTCTGTCACCTAGTTTAGTAACCTTGATAATTTATAGATGCTGATTGAAACATCAACAGTTTTTTCAGTAGGAGTCTTATTTTTTGCGTTGTGACTGCTTTAATCGTTTTGCTTAATTTATAGATTGTCCTGTTTCAGTTCTTCTTCATTTTACATAGTAAAAGCTGGTAAGGATTGAAGTTTTCGCTTGTCACAGTTAAATAAGTAGATCCGATGGACAGTAGAATCAGCCTAAATTGGACTTACTGATTTTTACATGCATTCTAATGGATTCCAAAAAAATGGATCTCGCGGTAAATTAGTGCAGCAAGACTGTGAAGCAAAATATATGAATTGCCAAAGTATCTGCTTTTAAGGCAGTACCGTCTGTTTCATATTGACCAGTGAAATTAATGAATTCACAGCAGGGACGTATTATTTATAAAATTTTATGCTTAACGTCGAAATTGTCTTAGTGGTTCAAAACGACAAATAAAAATTGTCTAGCACTATTTGGAACAGTTATCAGGGGAATGGTGTTAGTATGCTCTAAAGCCATGGTTAATATTTTTCCATAATTGAAGAGTTATTGTTATTTCCTCAAATAATAAAAGTATAAAACTCTATGCCAAGCTTTTCATAAGCCGTCTAAGTTTAAGTACGAACCTTCCCTCGTCAGCAAGACAATTTAAACTAAACGTTTATGATAAGGTTTGGTTTACTGAGTGCATTTAATCAGTTTATTTGAGCCTTTTTTCTAATCGCAGTTTATTAATTTCAACAGCTTTAGCTTGGGGTTCGGTTTTTACGTGTGCAAATGGAGTTTTAATTTTGCTGTTGAAAATTTTTTTTTATCTTTCTTTTACATTTTTATATTTTTAGGGTAGGCTTGTACGGATGCAAATTTGGTGATCTCGATGGCTCGGAGTTCATTTATCGTGAACGGCCAATTACCAAATTGCCGGAAATATCCCATCGACTAGAATCTTTTTATGTTGAGAGATTTGGTCAAGACAACGTCGAGGTAATCAAGGATTCGAACAACGTCGACCGGTCTTCTTTAAATCCAGACAAAGCGTATCTGCAGATTACTTATGTCGAGCCGTACTTTGAACTGTGGGAACTGCGTCGTCGTCTTACGAATTTCGAGCGCAACTTCAACATCAACCGTTTTGTTTATGCGACTCCTTTCACGCTGGATGGCCGAGCTCATGGT